TCTTTTAAGAGTTTTATACTCTGAGGTCTTACATTCAAGTCTAATCCATCTTAAGTTGATTTTTATATATAGTGATACTTAGTTCCCCAGTTTCATTCTTCTGCGTATGGATAGCCAACTATCCTAGCACCCTTTATTGAACAGGGAGTCTTTTTCTCATTGCTTATCTTTTTTTTGGTCAACTTTTTCAAAGCTCAGATGCTTGTGGGTGTGGGTCAGCTTTTGAATATGTTGCTGGATTTGGTTTGCTAGTATTTTGTTGAGGACCTTTGCATGTATGTTCTTCAGGAGTATTAGCCTGATGTTTTCTTTCCTCTTTTTTTTTTTAATATTGTGTCTCTGCCAGGTTTTGGTATCAAAATGATGCTGGCCTCATAGAATAAATTAGGGAGGAGTCTCTCATCCTTGCTTTTTTGAAATAATTTCAGTAGAATTGGTGCCAGGTTTTTTTTTTTAATATGTCTGGTAGAATTTGGCTGTGAATCCGTCTGGTCCTGGCCTTTTTCTTGTTGGTAGGCTTTTTATTACTGCTTCAATTTCAGAACTTGTTATATTGATTTGTTCAGGGTTTCAGTTTCTTTCTGGTTCCATCTTGGAAGGTTGTATGTTTCCAGGAATTTATCCATTTCTTCTAGGTTTTCTAGTTTGTGTGTATAGAGGTGTTTATAATAGTCTCTGAGGGTTTTCTTTTTTTTAATATTTCTGGGGGTCAATGTTATGTCCCATTGTCATTTCTGACTGCGTTTATTTGGATCTTCTCTCCTTTTCCTTCCTTCCATCCATCCTTCTGTCCATCCATCCATCCTCCCTCCCTCCCTCCTTCTCTTCTTCCCTCTTTCCTTCCTTCTTTTCTTTGTTTTTTTTTTTTTGGCAGTGTCTTGCTCTGTCACCCAGGCTGGAGAGCAGTGATATGATCTACTTCCCAGGCTCAAGCAATCCTCCCACCTCAGTTTCCCAAATAGAGTAGCTGGGTACTACAGGCACATACCACCACACCCTGCTAACTTTTGTGTTTTTGTAGAAACACGGTCTCCCAATGTTGCCCAGGCTTGTTTTGAACTCCTGGACTCAAGCAGTCTCCCCACCTCAGCCTCCCAAAGCTGGGATTACAGTTGTGAGCCATCGCACCTGGCCTCTCTTTTTTCTACTAGCAATCTTATTTATTCTTTCAAAGAATCATCTTTTGGTTTCATTAGTCTTTTATATGCTTTTTCTTGTCTCAATTGTATTCAGTTCAACTCTGATTTTGGTTGTTTCTTCTGCTGGCTTTGGGGTTGATTGGCTCTTGTTTTTCTAGTTCCTCTTGGTGCGATGTTAGGTTGTTAATTTGAGATCTTTCTAACTTTTCAATGTGGGCATTTAGCACTATAAACTTTCCTCTTAACGCTGCTTTATCTGTGTCCCAGAGATTCTGGTATGTTGTATTTTTGTTTTCATTGGTTTCAAAGAATTTCTTGATTTCTGCATTAATTTCGTTGTTTTTACCCAAAAGTCATCCAGTTGTTTAATTTTCATTTAATTGCATGGTTTTGAGAGATCTTCTTAGTACTGATTTCTGTTTTTTTTTTATATATTGTGGTCTGAGAGTGTGGTTGGTATGATTTTCATTTTTTTGAATTTGTTGAGTATTGTTTTATAGCCAATCATGTGGTTGATTTTAGAGTGTGTGCCAGGTAGAGTTGGGAAGAATGCATAGTCTGTTATTATTGGGTGGAATGTTCTGCAGATGTCACTTAGATCCATTTGGTCAGGTATCACATTCAGGTCCTGAGTATCTTTGCTAGTTGTCTGCCTTGATGATCTGTCAGATACTATTAGTGGAGTATTGAAGTCTCCCACTATTATTGTGTGGTTATCTAAGTCTCTTCATAGGTTTCTAAGAACTTGTATTATATATCTGGTGCTCCATTGTTGGGTGCGTACATATTAGGATACTTAAGTCTTCTTGTTGAATCGAGCCCTTTATCCTTATTTAATGCCTTTATTTGTCTTTTTTTGTTCTTTGTTGTTTTAAAGTCTCTTTTGTCTGAAATTAGAATAGCAACCCCTGCTGTTTTTTGTTTTTTTTGTTTGCTTGGTAGATTTTTCTCCATCCATTTTCTTTGAGTCTATGAGTGTCATTGCATGTAAAATGGATCTCTTGGAAGACAGCATACCATTGAATCTTGCTGCTTTATCCAGCTTACCACTCTGTGCCTTTTAAGGGCAGCATTTAGCCTGTTTATGTTCAAGAATAATGTTGTTATGTGCAGATTTGATCCTGTCATCATTTTGTTAGTTGGTTGTTGTGCAGACTTCATTGTAGTTGCTTTATGGTGTCAGTGGTCTATGTGCTTAAGTGTGTTTTTTGTGGTGGCCAGTAATAGTCTTTTGTTTCCACGTTTAGCTTAAGGACCTCTTGTAAGACATGTCTGGTGGTAACGAATTTCCTTAGCATTCATTGTCTGAAAATGATTTTATTTCTCCTTTGCTTATGAAGTTTAGTTTGTTTGGATATGAAATTTTGGATTGGAATTTTTTTCTGTAAGAATGCTGAGTATAAGCCCCCAGTCTCTTCTGGTTTGTATGGTTTCTGCAGAAAAGTCCACTGTTTGCCTGATGGGATTCCCTTTGTAGGTGACCTGCCCCTTCTCTCTAGCGGCCTTTAATTTTTTTTTTTCATGTTGACCTTGGAGAATCTGATGACCATGTGTCTTGGTAATGGTTGTCTTGTATAATATCTCACAAAAGTTCTCTGCATTTCCTGAGTTTAAATGTCAGCCTCTCAAGGTCAAGAACCTAGCGAGGTTAGGGAAATTTTTGTGGACAGTATCCTCAAATATGTTGTCCAGGTTGCTTGTCCTCTCTCCCTCTCTTTCAGGAATGCCAAAGGTTTGCTACCTTTACATAATCTCATATTTCCTGGAGATTTTGTTCATTTTTTTTTCTTTTTTTCTTTGCTTTTGTCATTATTTTTTGTTTGAAGAACTCGTCTTCATTTTTTATTTGAAGAACCAGTCTTCAAGCTCTGAGATTCTTTCTTCAGCTTGATCTACTCTGCTGTTAATTGTCCCACTTGTATTATATGATTCTTGTAGTGAGTTTTTCAGCTCTAACAGATCAGTTTGGTTCTTTCTTAAAATGGCTATTTCCTCTTTCAGCTCGTATCATTTTATTAGATTCCTAAGATTCCTTGGATTTGAATTCAACTTTCTCCACATCTCAAACATCTTCATTCCTATCCAAATTCTGAATTCTGTATCTGTCATTTCAGCCATTTCAGCATGGTTAAGATCCATTGCTGGGGAGTTAGTGGGGTTGTTTGCTATTAAGAAGAAACTCTGGCTTTTTGAGTTTCCAGAGTTCGTTCTTATCTGTATAAGCTGGTGTACCTTTAATATTTGAAGTTGCTGTACTTTGGATGGCATTTTTTGCTTTTGTATTCTTTGATGCCTTTGAAGGTTTGACTGTGGTATAATGTGGGGTCAGTCAACGGTCTTCATTTCTGGAAGATTTCAGGGGGCCAAGGCTCAGCTCAACACTACTGGGCAGCTTGTTCTAACCCTTAGCGGCTGAGACCAGACCTATGGCTTTGTGCTCTGGCCCCTCGAACTTACGTACTTGCTGCATTGGAGGAGCTAAAATGTTTCTGGTCAGCTGGTAACAATGCTGCAGTGGGGGATGCCAGCTAAAGCACTTTGTTGAGGCAGTGGCTGTGGAGTCCATCCTTGTGTGTGTGTGTGCCAGCAGCAACAGTGGCATGATGGGTGCACATGCTTGTGCCAGGATGGACAGCAGTGATTTGGGGTGCACTGCACACCAGCAGGGGTGGGTGGCAGAATCTTCATGGGGGCAGGGCAGCAGTGGGTTCATTTTTTTTTTTTTTTGAGACTGAGTCCCGCTCTTCTTGCCCAGGCTGGAGTGCAATGGCACAATCTTGGCTCACTGCAACCTCCGCCTCCTGGTTACAAGTAATTCTCCTACCTCAGCCTCCCAAGTAGCTGGGATTACAGGCACCTGCCACCATGCCCGGCTAATTTTTTTGTATTTTTAGTAGAGATGGGGTTTCACCATGTTGCCCAGGCTAGTCTTGAGTTCCTGACCTCACGTGATCTGCCTGCCTCGGCTTCCCAAAGTGCTGGGATTGCAGGCTTGAGCCACCATGCCTGGCCATTCAGTTTTATAATGAATATTTTTCCTAAGGCTTAGGGAGAACACAGAATTTAGAGTCAGGTAATTGACTGGCTGTGTGGTCTTTGAAAAATTGCTTAACTTCAGTGAGCCTCAATTTCATATCTCTGGTGAATATAATACCTACTGTATAAGGTTATTATGAGATTGAAATGCAAAAATGTTAAATGTAAAGCATTTAGTGTAGTGATTAATGTAATATGACTAAATGATAGATTTTTTTTAAATCTCTTGACATGGTTGATCATGTTAACTGATACAGTTTTAACTTCTATTTTCTGGTCCGTGATGACTTGGGAAATATAAGATAATGCTTGATGTGGAAAAAACTTTGGATAACCTTTACTCATATTTCTTGCTTGACATAGCTAAAGAAAATTGAGTGGGGGACAGCTGGCGGGTGTGTTTTTTTCTTTATGCAGCAATAGGGTTATTTTAAACTTTGTCAGTGATAAATTTTTAATAGAGTAGATAAGAATCTAGCAGGAGGCTCTTTCCTGGCTTCTTTGAACCTGCCCTCCCCTGAGGCAAGTCAGATTGCAGTTCCAAGGCCTAGACTTACTTAACTTTGGCCTCCTTATGTTTCCCAAGGCTTCATGATAAAGATGCCTGTTCTAGCTGTGGTTTCTGCTTTGTATTGTCTCTCTTTTTTTTGCCCCAAATATTTCCATTTTTATTTTTCTTATTTTTACAAACAAATGGTATGTGAGAAGTACATTTCAACCTGTAAAACATTATGGTGATGTTAGTTATTCTTTTGTTTTTCATTGTTTTCTTTGACCAATGAAAAAATGAAATCTGTTTTTCTTTGATTTTCTCTGACATTATAGGCACTTTGGTTTCCATTATTGGAGGCAATGATGGCTCCTCAGAAGCTGTCCAGTTCAGCCATTCCTCATCTACACTCTGAAGGTAAGTTCTTCAGAATTCAAATGACTGAGTCCACCTATATCATCAATCCAATATTTGTCTGCAGAAACTATCAGGATAGTATCTTTTTTCCAATAGCATATTCTTATGATTTTCCTTAATGAAACCATACAGTATGGTTGATCTCATCTTTTATATTTCTTTCTGTTGTTCCACTCCTATAATTTATCTTAAATAATGGTAGTCTTTATAACTTGTCAACAGTTAATTTTAAAATCTCAAATAGGCCTTGGTTAGCTAAGTTTCTAAGAAGCTGTATAAATCCACTGTTTTCCACAGACTCACAGGAAAAACTGAAAACTCTTATTTTAAACTAACCTTAATATTAATATTTTGTTATAACAGCTCTGAAATCTTTGACCATGCAAGTTTTAAATAGCATGGCAGCATTTATTGCCCTTCCATCAATCTTGCAAAGAATTTTACAGGTGAGTTAAAAGGGGTGAATATTAAATATTGATTGATTACAACTAACATTTTAGTGATAATAGTCAATTGGGCTAATGTGTAAAGGATCTCAAGCATAATGCAGCTAATTTTTGGCAATAGCTAAATATGTAAATATCTAACTTCTGACCCTCATTCTTGAATCTTTTCTGTCATTTTATTGGTGTGACTTTGCCTGACATAAGCTGGTGACCTTCAGTTAGGGCATGCAGCCTTCAGATATTCCCTGTTGCCTTGGGATATAGATATACAAGTTTCCTATTGGTTTGATAACTGGGAGGCAGTTATCATTTCTTTCCAGCTGATTATAATTTTTAGATTCAAAAAAGAATCTAAAAATTAATACAGGAATTTCCTAAGCATTGGTTGTTATTTAGGCTTTCTAACTCATCCTAAAATAATTTTTGTCTTGAATACTCATCCTTGACTCTAAATTCTAGCTGGCTTTGTGTCCAAAGCTTTTGTAGGAAGCATCATTTCAGTTTGTTTCTTTCAGCAAAAAAGCCTGAACCTTCTCAGCTTCATCAAAAGAGAACACTCAGAATACTCCAAGATACATTTTTAGAAAAAAACCTGTGAGCATTCTTGGGGGAACAATAGGAATCATACTCAGAATCCATTTTGTCTTTCCTCACTTTATTCAGTATAGGCATACATGTGCATGCACCCTGCCCCCCCACACACACACACACAAAACAAACCATAATATGATGCCATTAGTCCTTATAATTTTCAAATGATTTTTATTCAATCAAGAGTGTTCCTATCAGTTCTCTTTTAAGACTCACCAAGCTCTCCTTCCCATCTGATATTAAGCTTCTGGGGTTTTTCTGATAAAGAAGACTACATCCTGTAGTCTTTGTCATCACATGGTATACTATCATTTAGAATGCTTTTGTTTTTTTGAGACAGTTTCACTCTTGTTGCCTAGGCTGGAGTGCAATGGTGTGATCTTGGCTCACTGCAACCTCCGCCTCCCAGATTCAAGCGATTCTCCTGCCTCAGCCTCCCGAGTAGCTGGGATTAGAGGCATGTACCACCATGCCTGGCTAATTTTGTATTTTTAGTAGAGACAGGATTTCTCCATGTTGGTCAGGCTTGTCTCGATCTCCTGACCTCAGGTGATCTGCCTGCCTCGGCCTCCCAAAGTGCTCGGATTACAGGCGGCAGCCACCGTGCCCAGCCAGAATACATTTTTACATGTATTATTTAATTTGATCTTAACAGTTATCATGTGTTGAATAATTCTTTGATATAGACTGCTTCACATATCCATTTTAAAGCACATTACTTATGAGGTTTCTAATCATATATAAAGTAATGTATCCAAAGGGCAGGAATACTTTTCCAAATAAGTTAGAAGAAATGAAATCGTAAAGCCAAATGGGTTCTCTCTGTGTTATACATTTTGCTTTCCATTGAGCTTTAACCACGTTATGATATGTAAATTATAACAAAAACATGTTTTTCTCTTGACAAAAACATGATTTTTAAAGTTTTTTATATTTCAAGACTTTGGAATCTAGAAGTCTCTTGATATTTGAAAATTTTCACTTTATTTTGAGTTATACCGGCATTCATTATAATTTTTTCTTATCATTTTCTACTTTCAATGGTTGTTAACTCCCACTTATCAGGAAGGTATGCTATTTCTTAAATTCCTCATTTGCATGTTTGTGATTACTGTAATTATGCTACCTTATATTTGTACAGATATTTTTATTTTTCAAAGTGCTTTCACAGATATCATTTCATTTGAAGCCCACAACAATCTCTTGAGGTAGGCAGGGCTACTATAAACATTTCTGTTGAAGAAAGAGGAAACTGAAGTATAGAGAAGTTGAGTTCTTAACCTATCATTAGCGGCAGAACTTGGACCACCCCCTAAGTCTCTCACTTCCTAATTTGTATTCTTTTTTTATTATGTCATGTAAGCTTTTTTTATTTGTTTATGTCCCTGGTCTTTTGAGTTCATTATTAATTAAATATATTAATTGTACATTATGCTGTTTAGATGAAAGGCATAGTTCTGAACCCATAATAGCTCTTATCTGAGAGACAAAAAAATGTTCTGATACAACTATTCATAGGGCTCTATGCAAGTAATAGTGGCCACCTTCAGGATTATCTGCTCTGAATATAGGATAATTGCCATACCTACATTTCTATACTTAATCTGCATAAGAGCAGGAGCAGCCATGGGAAAGTGTCACCCTGCCTCCTGTGTCCAGCTGATTGACTCAGGGTGAGCAAATGGCCTAAACAAGGCCGATCGGTGTGCTTTCCAGGACATTTTAGAACTGAACTTGGAAAAGACCTGTAAGTCTCTCATTAAGTCTCTGGATTACATCAGGTACAAATTTCAGGAGTGGACAGTTCCTGTTTTTCCATTATATGGACTGGAAGAGTGAAAAAGCATAATCTGTAGAGAGAAGGAGACGAATGTAGTAGACTCTAAGAAGAGACACACCAACGGATAAATGTATAAAGAGGATTCAAGGCATAGAGACCGGGAGAGGAGGCGACCTGGAGAGAAAAAGCTGATGCACCTCAGTCCTTCATTGTGACTCTTGAGACTTACTAGCATTCCTCTTTTTGGATCTGTGAAATACCCTAGCATCTTTACAATAATTAACTTTTTTGAGTAAGTTAGATTGAGTTGTATTTATGACTATATATGACCAAAGGAGTACCAATAAAAGTGTATACCTGAAACAGACTAGGGAATTTGGAAAGATTTCCTGGAAGAGGAGATGTCTGATTCTTAAAAGAGTCTAAGGAAATCAAGGAAAGAAAGGAGGTAGGATTTATTGTATATATACAAAGACTTTGAGGTGAAAGCATGATACATTTGGGAAGTTACAAGTTTTTTAAGTGTGCTCAGAACATAGGATAAGAATAAAGAAAAATCACGGAGCTGAAATTTGAGAGATAGGCAGGGACTGTGTCTTTAATTGCTTGGTAATTCATGATAAGGAGTTTGGATTTTATTCTAAAATCAGTTGTCATCAAGATTTTTAGCAGAGGAATGACTCAGACACAAGGGGAGGGGAGTAAAACACAGGGCTGAAAATGAGGATTTGGGGAAAGTCTGCTGATAGGATTCCCTGTGCTCCTCTTCCCCCTTCCAGCAGCCATCAGACGCACTCACTTCCCACGAAGGAGACAGGTTCATTTTCTTGAGACACTGAATGATCTCAGAGAAATAAACCCTAAATAGATTGATGCTTCAAGTTTTCCTCAAGAAAATGGCTGGCTAGCTGTCCTGTCACTCTACATGGAGTTGCATCAGTCAGCAAGCCTCAGTTACACAACCAGACCTTTCATTCAGGTTTAGTATTTCTATTATTAATTACTAGAGCAGTATTAGATTTACAGAGACATTAAACAGAAAATACAGAGAATTCCCTTTTACCCCTTCTCCCTCCCACACGCAGTTTTGCCTACCATTAACGTCTTTGTGTTAGTGTGGTGTATTTGTTACAATTGGTGAATTAATACTGATACATTATAATTATTAACTAAAATCCATAGTTTACATTAGGAATCACCCTTTGTGTTGTACAGTTGTATGGGTTTTGACAAATACGTAGTGTCCTATATCCACCATTACCATATCATATACTGCTCTAAAAGGCCCCTGTACTCCACCTATTCATCCTCCTCCCTACCCTAATCCCCTGGCAACCACTATTTTTTTTTTTTTTGAGACAGAGTCTCACTCTGTCACCCAGGCTGGAGTACAGTGGCGTGATCTCTGCTCACTGCAACCTCCACCTCCCAGGTTCAATAGATTCTCATGCCTCAGCCTCCCAAATGGCTGGGATTACAGGCATACATCACCGCACCCGGCTAATTTTTGTATTTTTAGTAGAGATGGGGTCTTGCCATGCTGACCAGGCTGGTCTTGAACTCCTGGCCTCAAGTGATCTGCCCACCTCTGCCTCCCAAAGTGCTGGGATTACAGGTGCGAGCCACCATGCCCGGCCCACTGATTTTTTTTTTAACTGTCCCTATGGTTTTTACCTCTTCCAGAATGTCATATAGTTGGAATCATAGAGTGCGTCGTCTTTTCATTTTGGCTTTTTTCACTTAGCAATATGCACTTAAAGTTCTTCCATTTCTTTTGGGGGCTCGATAGTTCATTTCATTTTATCTCTGTGTATTCCATTGTATGGATGTTCCACAGTTTTGTCTATCCATATACCTATCAAAGAATATCTTGGTTGCCTTCCGGTTCTGACAAATTTCAGTAAAGCAGCTATGAACATTCATATGCAGGCTTTTTGTGCGGACTTAAGTTTTAGACTCATTTGGGTAGATACCTAGGAATGTGATTGCTGGATTATATAAGACTATGCTTACTTTTGTAAGAAACTGCCAAACTCTCCTCCAAAATGTCTATACCATTTTACATTTCTGCCAGCACTAAATGAATGTTCCTGTTGTTCCATATCTTAGCAGCATGTGGTATTGTCAGTGTTTGGGGTTTTAGACATTCTAGTAGATGTGTAGTAGTCTTATAATCGTTTTAATTTGTAGTTCTCTTACAACATGTGATACTGAGCTTTTATCTGCTTTTTGAAGTGTTTGTTTTCTTGTTGGGTTTTAAGGATTCTTTGTATATTTTGGATAAGGTTCTTTATCACATGTGTGTCTTGCAAATATTTTCTCCCATTCTGTGACTGGTCTTTTAGTTCTCCTAACAGAGTCTTTCACATAGCATAAGTGTTTGCTTTTCATGAAGTCCAATTTATTGACTTTTTCTCCCATGGATCATGCTTTTGGTGTTGTATGTAACAACTCATCACCAAACTCAAGGTTACTCAGATTTTCTCATATGTTTTCTCCTAAAAGTTTTGTATTTTTGCATTTTACATTTAGAGCTATGATCCATTTTGTGTTAATTTTAGGGGAAAACGTTTGGTCAGTGTTGATTCATTTTTCTGCATGTGGATATACACAGTTGGAACTAGTGCCA